ACAGGCCTGAATGCCCTTGCTTTAGTGTCTGGTTCCCAAAGGGTTGGGGGGGGAGAGAAGAATGAAAGGGGGGAAAGGGCTCCCTCCCTTTAAATGTCCCAAGTCACTTCAGCTGGGGGAGAGGGTCTCTGCAATCATGGGGGAGCAAAGTGGCTGCCTCTTCTCTGTGTTGCACCTTTGTGATAGGAAGGAGCAATCAGTGATGAGAGCACAGATTTCCAGTGTTTGGAGGACAGACAGGGTCTTTTTTGCCCACCCTGGCTCCTGCAAGATGTGTGCTAGTTGCTGCAGAAACCTGCAGGTGGCTGGGTGTGGGGGGATGAGCTAAGAGCTGAAATTGGTTGAAATGAACCTCAGTTGACTGGCCAAGTCCTTCCCTGGAAGTTGGAATCCTTCAGTAGATTCCAGGTTTCCAAAACACTGACATTAGATGGATTCTGCCAATGCTGCTGTTTTTCAGGTGGGGAGATCGATTCCTGGTGCTTCCTACTCCACCAGCTTCCCAGAATCCTCCAAGCCATGTTAGGTTTTGTCCTTGTCTGTTCGCCTTGCTCTCCACCACACTCTCCGGGAGGGGAGGGAGCATGTCGCTATCTTATCGCTGCTTCCCAGGGTCCATCTGAAGTGTTTGGCACTTGTGGTGAAGGCTCAGTTAACTGGCCTTACAATTCCAGTTTGTTCTCGTAGGGGCTGGTCGCAGGGACAGGGCTGGGCTGGGCTGGGCTGCTCAGGAACGAGAGAGAAAGGGGGACTGTACTGCGTTGGACAGTGTCCCCCTCACCCCCAGTTCGTTTCCATCTGGAACCTGTGAATGGGACCTTTTTTGGAAATTGGGTCTTTGCAAGTTGAAATGAATTAAAATGATGTCATGCTAGATTAGGGTGGATTGATGATTGGTGTCCTTAGTAGAAGGCCATGTGAAGATGGAAGCAGAGATTGGAGTGGTACATCTATAAGCCCAGGATTACTGGCAGCCACCAGGAGCTGGAGGAGGCAAGGAAGGATTCTTCCTTTTTGCCCTGGAAGAAGCATGGCCCTACTGATGCCTGGATTTGGGACTTCTGGCTTCCGGAATTGTGAGAGAGTGAAGCTCTGTTGTGGACTAGTTGGGCAGCTGAGCACACTAACAGAGGGATGAGGACCAGGAGGCTGTGGATCCACAAGACTACAGAATTCCTCACACCTTGTATTCCCAGCTCCGAAGGAGAGTATGGTAGTGCCCCCCAGCAAGCCTCCATGTGAGCTAGGTTCCTTCTAAAGTGATGTTTGAAAGCTGGTTTTTAAGACAAAAATAAGGCTGCTGAGTCCTTTAATTGGCCACGTGTCTGTGGCTTTCCGTGTCTGTATTGTGAGCAGCCTGAGAACAGAGCCCAGGTCCTGACCCTTGTACTGTCCTCACTCCCAGACAGTTACTGGGCATCCACATGGGGCTGGGCCCGGTGCCCAGGGCTGGAGTGTGGACACAGAGCATGCCCTCGGGAAGCTCCATGAGCCCCCCCCCAAGCCCGGGGACATGCTGCCCCCGCCCCCCCATTTGTAGGGGTGCTTATTTCTCCTGCTGTCTCCAACTGACCAGTGAGGAAGGATGCTTAGAACTCAGGTCTTGCCCAAAGCTCCTCCCCAAGAGGACGTGTGGAAGCTAGAGGAGATGCTGTGGTAGCCTCTTTACCCAGTCACTCCAGTGGCTACCAACCCCAAGAGCCTCAGTCTGCCCAACTGTAGAATGGGAGAGATGGTAGAAGCTGTCTCGTAGGATGTGTGGAAACTACATGGCTGGTACGGAGGGAGGGCGTAGCAGGCAAGAGCTGCTCCTGCCGTCACTGTGGTTATTTGCTAAATTTATGAGTCCCCTGGAGAGCAGCCTTTATGGGTATTGTTTATAGGACTCCCGTCTGTATTTGTATTACATATATTTGCATATGTGTCGATACCTGTTTCACACAGAGACATATTTACCCTGAACAAACTTCAGTATTAGATATTGACAAGGTATTAATTTCTCCATTGTGCTAATTTGAGTAACTTTGAAATTTTAATGGAAACTGCACTCTCAGGGGGCAGACCTCTTTATGTACCATCTGTTCACTCCATACACGTGTTTGAGCCACTGTTGAGGGTAACAGAGTCTAAGATCAGTGAGCACGGCAAAGAAAGGTTACTGCCCTCAGGCACCTCCTTCCACCAGCGGCAACAAACTAAGACCAAAGCTGTAGCGTAGGCAGAGGGAAACCAAGGCCAGGCCAGGGGCTGGACACACCAGAGGGCGAGGCTCCTGCAGTCCTGTCCAGACATGAGAACATGGGATAAGGCCCCTGCTCTGTTTTTGAAGAAAACAAATTCAAGGCTAATTAAGAGGCCGAGTTTTGTGTTTCTAGGCTCAAGGCCACAGGAATGGTCAGCAGTGGGAACCTGAGCTTAGCCTGGGATTTGGCCTTATTTTTCCTGTTTATAGAATTTTATGTTAAGGAGGCCATCTGGTTGGTTCTCAGCTGCATAAATGCCCCATTGTGCTGTGTCTGGTCATGGCCACATCCAGGCCAGGTGACTTGGCACCAGCTGGCAGCCCGCAGCTGTGTGGACCCGCAGCTGTGTGGACATGGCCCCCAGGCCCTGTTCTTCCAAGTCCTGCGGGTCCCGCCTGGTGCTGAAGGGCCGTCTGCTGGGAGGAGGTACCGATGCCGAGGGGCCAGCTTTCAGGGAGGGACCTCCTCTTCCTTCAGTCCAGAAACGCCTGGACTCTACTCAGGGGTGAGGTCAGGGAGTGGCCCTAAAGTAGAAAAGTGAAAGGAATGGCCTCAGTGGGCTGCGCAGGAGAGGTGCCCCTGAATCTCAGACATCTGCGAAGGGATGAGGGAATGCGGCTGCCAGACACATCGGGCAGCTGTCCCTGTTTCGGGCTCCTTGCCAAGTGTGGTTTCTGTCTTACACTCCGTCATACTGCCCCCATCCTGTCACTCCTGCACTTGATTTTGGACATGTCCCACTGGTCTCTCTTTTCAGGCCTGTCTTGGGACATGGGTCTGGAACAGCCTCTTCCTCTAGGCCTTTGCTAAGAGAGCCAGACTGACCATCCTAACGAGGGCTTTTCTTCTTTCTGGTCTTGTTCTTAACTTCTTGAGTGAAGTTGAAGGAAGTGAGAAAGAGAAGGCTCTTAAAAACTCGAGAGGGCGAGACTTCCAGAATGTTTTCTGGGTCACCTGGTTAGAGTGATGGAGGTCACCGGAGGTGCATGGGGTGTTTGGGTGCAGGAGCCTTTGCCTCATGGGTTCGGGTGTGGGTCCAGGAACCAGGGCAGGCCCCTGAGTTCCACCAATTATTTCTTTAAGATTTTATTTACTTACTTGTCAGAGAGAGAGAGAGAAAGAGAGAGAGCGAGCACACGAGCAAGGGGAGCGGCGGGCAGAGGGAGAAGCAGGCTCCCCGCGGAGCCGGGAGCCCGATGCGGGACTTGATCCCAGGATCCTGGGATGATGACCTGAGCTGAAGGCAGACGCTTAACGACTGAGCCACCCAGGCGCCCCCACCAGTCTTGAAAACGGTCCAGTCGTGTGACTTCGGGGCATGTCTCCCATGGGCCGTGTCCGTCGGTTGGAGGTGTTCTCTGCAAATCTGGAATCTACTGTGGGGCTCCAGGCTGCAGTCAGAAGGAATGAGGCAGGTCTGTGCTGCTGTATGAGCGAGGTGAAGGGCACGCTGTCGTAGGCGCCGTCCGTGCACGAAGACTGCTGCTGTGGATGCTCATACACACTCTGGAAAGATATGTGCCCAAATGGTGACGAGGAAATGCCTCTGGAAAGTGGAGCTTGAGGTGGAGGGAGGGGTCAGTGGGGAAAGAGGGATTTCAGTTCTCATGGCATTTCCTCCTGTGTGTTCGAATTTGTTACAACCACGCACGTTCTTTGCTTAAAGCAAAACAGGGGTCCTTTAGTAATGTGGCCTGGCATCTCCTTCTGCTGGGGGTCCTGGTACCTGTAGGCTGCACTGGCTCACCCTGCCCGCCTCCTCTCACTGCGGGTGCTGCAGGGTTCTTTGAAACGGAAAAGTACAACATTAAGGCCAGACATAAAGCAGATTGTAATTTTAAGGACTTTTTTTTTTTTTTTAAGATTTTATTTGACAGAGAGAGACACAGCGAGAGCGGGAGCACAAGCAGGGGGAGTGGGAGAGGGAGAAGCAGGCTCCCCGCCGAGCAGGGAGGCTGATGCAGGGCTCCATCCCAGGACCCCGGGATCATGACCTGAGCCGAAGGCAGACGCCCAACGACTGAGCCACCCAGGCGCCCCAGGACTTTTTTTTTTTAAGAAGTGATTGTGGTTGGGTATATTCATTTCCTACAGCTGCTGTGACAAAGCACCATAAACGGGGCTTACAACAGCGGTGGTGTCATCTTCCACACTTCTAGAGGCCAGAGCCTGAGCTGAAGGTGTCGGCGGGGCCATGCTCCCTCTGAGGCTCTGAGGGCTTCTGGTGGCTTCTGTGGCCTGTGACACATCTCTCTGTCCTCGGCCCCTGTCCTCACTCAACCTTGTGTCTGTGTCCACACTTCCTCCTTCTAAGCACAGGAGTCACTGGATCAGGGCCTGTTCTAATACAGAATGGCTTCCTCTTAACTAATTACATCTGCAAGGATCCTGCTTCTAAATAAAGTCCTATTCCAAGTCCCGGGGGTTAGGACATGCACGGAGTTGGGGGGACTAGCTGCTGCAGTTTCTAGCCTTCCCATAAAGAAGCCTTTGGAGTTGCCACACTTAGTAATTTGATGATGTACTGTCTAAAATTGTGAACTTGCTTGTGAAAGCAGAATTTTACATGAACTTTCAGAAGGAACATTAGAAGCTGAAAAACCAGTGAATCACAGTTCTGAAGCAGGCCTCTGAATGAGTGTGTCCGTCAGCTAGCGATAGCGGGTCCGGGCCACTTTTTCTCTTGCTTTACGAACACCTGTTTCTGACCTTGCTTCTTTTAATAAAATGAACTGTGCTTTTAAATCTTCCACTTAGGAAATTGAGAGACTTTCTGAGCAGTTAGAAGAAAAAGAGAAGGAGACGCAGCAGCTGATGAGCCAGCCGGAGCGCGAGCGAGAGAGGGAAGTGGCACTGCTCCGGAGGAGTGTGGCGGAGAAGGAACGGGCCCGGGCTGCCAGTGACATCCTGTGCCGCTCCTTGGCTGATGAGACCCATCAGCTGCGGAGGACTCTGGCCGCCACCGCCCACATGTGCCAGCATCTGGCCAAGTGTCTGGATGAACGACAGCGCGCTCAGGGGGACGTGGGGGAGAAGAGTCCGGAGGTAAATGTGTGGGCCGAGGACGGTGAAGGCCTCCCTGGGGCGGGAGGCCCTGCGTTGGGGCCGCATGAACCCGCGGCCGTCACAGGGGTCGGGGCGCCCAGAGCCCACTTCTGTTCTCAGTGTGAGACCCAGCTGTTGTGGCAAAGCCCACCCATCCAGGGGTTTCTTCTAGAATGATGGAACATGCAGAATGTGATAGGAAAGCAGGGGAGCCTGTTTCCCCAGCCCCTCCCTCCCGGACAGCCCTGTGCACTTTGGCCTCCTTGGCCTCACTCAGCTGAGGACCAGAGGGCAGAGCCGGGCTGGCGGGCCTGCTCCGAGCAAGTGCAAGCACTCGAGCGTTGGGCAGATGAGCAAACTGCCCCTTTCCATGCCCCGTGTGCGGGGCCAGGCCCCAGCCCGCCACGAGGGCAGTGGGTGCCGGCCTTCTGTGGCTCCACGAGTCTGAGCAGAGCAGCGCCGCCCGGCCTGGGGCAGGGAGCAGGGTTCTTTCCAGGCGGCTCTCTGGAGCTGCCACCATGGTCACGTTGGAAATGCGCTCTGCGGTGTTCTGGGGGGTGGGGGTGGGGGACAGGTCGCCTGGCTCCTTAGCAGCCTCTTCACTTAGAGCCTGCGTGGGGAGAACCTCAATCTGAGAACCACCCGTTCCCGATGGGGGGATTCCACGAAAAGGGAACCTCAGAAAGAACACTCGTGTATTTCAGAAGCCAAAAGACGAGGGCTGTCTGGGAGGAAGCGGCCGTGCTCATTCAACTTTGAGTCACTGTGTCATTTCCTTGTGGGGACTTGGAAGTGGCTGCACAGGAGGGTTGGCCTGGGGCTGCTGTGGGGTCAGTGCAGCCCCTAAAGCAGCATCACTTCTCAGCCTGGGACTTGGCTGAGTCACCCGGGGCTTCCCGGTGCCTGCTCGGCGAGGACACCCACTTCCTTTATCATTCAAGGGGAATTCTCAGAAACGATGTCACCAACATACAGCCCCCTGTTCTGTTAAATGCACTGAAGTTCTCGGATTCAGATGGACTTCTCATGAGACTTTTCGCTTAGGTCTGCCCACCATTGTTAGGGCTGGTTTCGGATGTGGCTTCTCAGTGTGAACACGGTGTGTGGTTCAGATCGCCACGTGTGAACCACTGAGGTCGACCCTGACTCTGTAGATGTGATGCTGTCATGGGCTTGGAGGAGGGGAGCTGGGTTCCCGGCCAGGCCTGCACTAGGCCGGAGCCTTCTCTGCGGCCCCACGGGGCTGGGCCGCCTACCCGCCCGACTTCTCTGATGACGGAGCATCTGAGGCCGTGGGAGACCGGACGCAAGGCTGGATGCAAGCGCCTGGTGGCGGCGTGGCCCCGGTCCCCCTGGCGGCCCGGGTGGGGCCGGAGCAGACCCCTCCCCGCCCTCCAGCCTTTCCGGTCTCTGCCCCTCTCCCGAGGGCACGCCTGCCAGGGGACGCTGCTAGATGTGGTGCCATCGGTGGCCTCGGTCCACAGGTCTTGCTTCTTCCTCCCTTCTTGCTGCGTGTGCCATGTTCAGCAACACGGCGTCTTCCCTCTGTCCCTTCCTTCTGCAGCCAGAGTGTACAGGCGGGGCCGCCTCCGTACAGGCTGTTCTTGAGAAGTTACGGGAAGAAAACCGACTGTTACGACAAAAGGTGACTCATGTGAGTATCTGTTCCATTTCGTTCAACCGCAGGGGAGGGTCCTACCCTCTCTGTGGTGCTCAGGGCTTGTGTCCCCCTCGGGCCACTTGGGTTGACACACACAGCCCCCAGAGACCTGGCCTTTCTGCATCAGAGTGCAGAGGACGCGCCCTGTCCTGCTCTGTCCGCCCCCCCCCCCCAAGGTCAGCTCGTAGGTCGAGAAAGAAGGTGCAGGGGTTTCAGGTAGAGCTTTTAAGGCAGGAGAACGGCACCGAGTCCACTTGGGCGGAAGCCGGTGGCCTGGGGATGTCCTCACTGCGCCTCGGCTGCGTCTGGCAGTCTCAGTGTCCCCCGTGGACGGAGCCCAGTGAGGCACCGGCGGTTACGGGCCAGAGCTCCGCAGCGGCCTGTTGCTGACAGAGAGCTTCCCGGCCTCGGCCGCTGTCACCCCGAACTCTGGCTGCGTCCCCTCAGGTGGAAGACCTCAACGCCAAGTGGCAGCGCTACGACGCCAGCAGGGACGAGTACGTGAGGGGGCTCCACGCGCAGCTGCAGGGGCTGCGGGCCCCCCCCGAGCCTGAGAGGCCCTCCTGCCCCGAGCTGATGAGGAAGGAGATTTCCAGGCTCAACCGGCAGCTGGAGGAGAAGATGGGCGCGTGTGCGGACGTGAGGCGGGAGCTGGTGGCCGTGAGGGGCGCCCGCGATGCGGCGCTGGAGCGCGTGCAGATGCTGGAGCAGCAGGTGGTGCCGTGGCGGGGGGTCTGCCTCCTTCCCGGGCCGACGCGGCTCCGCACCGTGACAGCCGAGCGTCTCGCCTCCTTTCAGATTCTCGCTTACAAGGATGACTTCACCTCAGAAAGGGCAGACCGAGAACGGGCCCAGAGTAGGATTCAGGAGCTCGAGGAAGAGGTGGCTTCCTTGCGGCAGCAGGCGTCCTGGACACAGGTGGGGTCCCAGGACTTGTCTCCTCGTTTAGGCTCAGCGTTTCTCTCGTTTTTCTTTTCCTGAATTTCGAGTGTCGGCCTGAAACGCTTGTCACGGCCCGAGCCCGTCGGCCCGCTTGGGTCAGAGCTGCCTTGCCTGGCGCCCGGGGCGCGGTGGCGGAAGCCGTCTGTCACGGTGGTGTGACGGAGGAGGTGGCTGTCCACGGGGCCCGTCCTGGGCTCCGGGCCCCCTACCAGGCCTTCCTGCCTACACGTCGCCTCCTTGCTATGAGGCGGGGACCCGGGTTACCCCATTCCGCAGACCTGGACACTGAGGCCCCAGGTGTCCAGTGATGTCCCCCAACTCATGGTCCGTGTGCGGCGAGATGCGCCATATGGGCCAGTGGGCCCTCCACCCCCCCCATCCCCCGGGGAGGCCTGGCAGGTGTCAGAATTGACAAAGTCTCTCACCGCGGGACCCATGGCACCCACCTGCCTCTTCCCCTCTCAGCCCTGCGGACACCCCAGGAAAGCTTCGTTTCTTTAGCCCCTCAGCAAGTACCCAGCACACCTCTGGCCCTGGAGTGAACCCCGGGCCCCTTGAAGAACTTTTGTCTGGACACGGATGGGGCAGTAGTGGCAGCGCTGGGGCCCGACGTACCAGGCGGTGCAGGGATGCTGAGCGGACCTGGGAGCTGCCCGCTGGGGTTGCCGGTGGCTTGTGCATTCCCCGCTGCGAGAGGGGTGCAGGGAGTCATGGGGGACACCCTCTCTTTCACACTCTCGGACTAAGTCCATAGCCGTGGGCCTGGACAGAGCGTTGTGGGTGAAGTGGGTGGGGACCTTGGCTGAGGTCTGTGTCCCCGAGTCTGCAGGCCAACAGGGAGATGCCGGAGGACCTCACCAGCCCTGGCAGCCTTCTTGGCCTCCATCAGGAGTTCCTGCTTCTCCTCAGGCCCCGGGACTATAGGCTTTGGCTGAACATCCTCCCACGTGGCCGGGTGGGGATGGGGCGTCCTCCTGCGATTTGGCTTGGCCTGTGGGTTTTCTCGAGGAAGCATGTGCTCTTGGGTTGAAAGGTCTTTAAGGATGTGGTCCTCAGTAGCCTCTCAATGACTCACGGCCAAGAGGAGTGACCAGAACCGGCTCCAGGTCTGGTGGAGCCTGAGCCTCTGTATCTTTCTCAGCCGCAGCCTGCGGCCCCTCGAGCAGTGGGGAGCACGCGCTCTGATGCCCAGCGCCTGGATGGCCCTGGGGCAGGGGTGCTGAAGGTGTGGCCAGTGAGCCAAAGTTCCTGAGCAGTAGTGAGGAGCGCGGCAGGCCACGGCTCACACACGACCGCTGTCTAGGGGAACCCCTACTGCCTCAGGGGGCTCCCAAGTGCTCCGGACCCCGGGCCTCGCAGAGATGGTGCAGAGCGGGGCCGAGGCACAGTTCGTCCAGCTCCCTGCCCTGAGCTCTGCCACCCCCCTCTCCACTGAGGTGTCCGGGGCAGGTCTTCAGGGCCGAGGGGCCGCCCAGGCCTTCCCGCCCAGGGGTTGGGGTGCACCCCGCTCGACCCTGTCCCTTCCTGAGCACACGCAGCAGTGTCTGTGTGCCCACTTCAGTTCTGTACGGAGCACCACCACGTTTGGGCTCTGGGCTACTCCAGGAAGCAGGGTGAGGGGTGTGCGTCTCACTCAAGGAGAGAAGAAACATCTCAAGTGCTAGAACCCAACACGTGATTTTGTGGCCTCCAGGACAACCCACGTAAACGGACCTTTGCCTTTTTTCCAGGACCGCCGTGAGCCAGGCTCCTGCCGGATTCACACGGGAAACAAAACCTCCAAGTACTTAGAGATGGGTGCTTTGGAGCTCGTGGCACCCAGTGGCTGGAGGGCAGGGACTGGATCTCAGGGGCTGGACTCCCCCGCCGAGGGCAGAGCGACCCGGAGAGCGCAGGGGGACCTTCAGTGCCCTCACTGCCTGCGGTGCTTCGGTGACGAGCAAGGCGAGGAGCTCTTCAGGCATGTGGCTGAGTGCTGCCAGTGAGACTCGTGGCCGGGAGAGGGAGAGAGCCCTCGAGATCTGGGGCCCAGAACAGGCTGAGGGTGCCTCGGATGCTTCACCTTGGTCCTTCTCGGGCGATGGAACAGACCAGGTCAGAGGGAACCTCCCGTGGGGCATCTGCTCCCGGAAGGGAGTGTGGACCCCCAGCTGCCAGGCTGAGAGGCTGGGAGCAACCGGATGCAGGGATCCAGGCCAACAGGACCACCCCCCCCCCCGCCCCTGGGCGCGCCACAGCTGCTGGGAAGAGGGGGCTGCCTGCGGGGACCACATGTGTGGGCCCCAGGGTGAAAGGCCTGCCTTGTTCTGTTGAATAAGGACCAGGAGGTCTGCAGAACTGAGCGCTCCGGCAGCACCTCGCACCTGGGGGCCGGTCTCTGCCACCGCAGAGCCGTGTGCCTGCACTGAAATGTACCCCAGTAGCCTTTGCCACGTATCTGAAAGTCAAGAGACGTTTCGCATGCACTTATTTTCATAATAAATGTACTTACTCTGGTGATCGCTCTGAGGATGCGTCCTGGGGGCTGGGGTGCAGGGACCGGTTAGTATTTCCAGTCGGGCTGGACTCAGACCAGCCGGTGAGGAGAAACACTCCCATGTCTGCCACCTGCCAAGGGACCGAGATGGACTGGCCGGAGTCCAGCCAGGCCTGCCGGTTGGGCGGCCATGTGACCTGGCGCCTGCCCAGCTTTGCCTTTGGGCAATTTCAGCCCCAGCCCAGGATGTGAATTCAAGGGCTGGAAACCAGGGGAGGAAGCAGGTGCCTGCTGAGAGCAAGGTGAGGCTGCCGAGGGCCCGCCGGTGGAGCCGGGGGCGGGGGGCGGGGGGCGGGGGCAGGAAGGAGAAGGCAGGAGGGGAGACTGAGGCGCTGTGCCAAGTGTTTGCCAGGGTCACTCATTTAACCCTTCCAGCAATTCCAGGATGCACATGTTAGATCATCCTCAACACGGACAAGGAAAATGCACAGAGGGGTTAATTCACTTGCCCAAGGTCACACAGTGGCTGAATGACAAAGCTGGGATTTGAACCTGTGTTCTTAATTGCACATTCTGTACTTCTTCCTGGAACTCACCCTTCCATGTGGTTAAGTCCTTCTCAAGTCTGTGTTCAGGTGTCGCCTCCTCTGGGGACTCCCTGCGCACCCCTTTCTGCCGGAGCCCGGCTGGAAGGGACCCGGCCTGTGTGGCATGGGGTGGGTAGGCTATAGCAGAAAAGCCTCAGTCGGAGTTGGAAGAGTTTGTGGACATCTGAACAGTGGAAAGAGAGGATGGGGACATCCCAGAGAGAAGGGAGCCACAAAAGGGGGAACCCTCACATCCTTGGCTGACCCCCAAATTGTGCATGCTTCGAGCAAGACCCCAATGATTCTGGGGTGAGAAGAGCAGATGGAAAACAGAAAGAGCTTAGCAGGCATCCCCGTGGCTGAGTGTTGTTACAGGGTAACAGCTTTGAATCTGGGTCCCTCAAGGTTAGAAGGGCTTAGTAAACAAACACTTCAGGTTTTCCTTTGAAACCCTAGAAGGGCCAGATCTCGAGTAAAGTTGACATCCTGGGACAAAATGGAAACAGCCCTTGCTCTAAAAAGGCAGAGTCCCAGGTAATCAATCAACCAACAAATCACCTGCCTATTGGAACAAGAACCAACTTTGTTTAGAGACGGGCAGAATCTCGGACCCAAACCACAAATGCAATATGCAAGAGAAAATACTAGACGGGCGCCTGGCTGGCTCAGTCGGTAGAGCATACAACTCCTGATCTCGGGGTTGTGAGTTTAAGCTTAAAAATACAATCTTAAGAAAAAAAAAGAAAATATTAGATGTAGGAAAAATAAAGGCAGCACAAAGGTATTTTCAGATGAATACAAGGTAATGATAGTTAGTTATATCCAACAGACTCTACTATAAGAAATTTGTACCATAGAAATTATTCCAGCTGAAGGGAAGTGATTCTGGATAAAAAATATAGAAAGGAGTGAAGAAGCTGGGGGAGTGGGTAGATTAGGATTGCTGACTGTTTAGACAGTCCTTTTGAGGGCTTTAAAACATGCAAACATGTGGCCACAAGAGCTTTCTAGGTGTGGGGGAGGGAGTATTTAATGAACTTACACAGGAGTTTTTGCACTGATTTAAGGTGGACTGTAATGCAGTAGGGAAGCATAATCTCTAACCATTAAAATAGTAATACAAATATTTAACTAAAAAGTGAACAGAACAGAGAAATGTTTTTATTAATCCAAAGCAAGACAAGTTAGGAAAACTAAAGGTATCAGGAAGAGATGAGACACACAGAAAATAGATGGCAAGATGGTGTACTTAAACCCAACCCTATCAATAATTAAAGATATGTGGGTCAAATATTGACTGAAGGATCATGATTATCAGGCTGGGTGAAAATAACAAACTCTCCCGTCTGTGCTCGGTAGCAGAGGCATACTTTAAATGTAAGAGCAGAGCAAAGGACAGAAAAAGACACACCATGCCAGCACTAGCCAAGATAATGAGGGAGTGGATGCAGCCACTCTCATTTTGAAGCCATGAATGACATGGTTTCAAAAAATATATAAATGAAAAGGAGACCTGGATAAAAGCACAATCATAGCTGAGAATTTTCACACACCTCTCAGAGACTCTGAGAGGAGCAGGGATGCTAAAGATTTAACCAAAATACTTAACCGATTTGGCCTCCTTTGCATATGAAACATGACGCCCAACAAAAGCCAACTGGAATTCTCAGCTCTACGTGGAACACTTACCAACAGAGACAAATCTGTGGGGCATAAATCAAGTCACAACATATTCCAAAGAACCGAATCACTGAATTTATGTTCTCTGACCGTGGTGAGATTAAACTACAACTCAGTAACAGATAAATACCAAATTCTCAACACACTTCTAAGTGGTCTGTGGGCAAAGGAAAAAACACAATGGAAATGAGAAAATGCTTTGTGCGAAAATGAGGTTAAAATTCAGTGATCTGAGTGCCCAACTCAAGAGCTAGGAGAAGAACTGCATATTAAACCCAAAGAAAGGAAAGGACAGAATATAAGAGCAGAAATCAATGAGATAGAAAACAGAAAAATCAACAAAGCCAAGAGTTCTTTCAAATGGCAACACCCCCCACAAACCAGTAACAAGACTCATGAGGAAAAGACAGGAGACGAATTGCTGATAAGCGGGAATGAAAAGGGGGACGTCACTATGGATCTCCGAGGACTACTATGAACACTTTATGCTAATAAATCTGACAGATGAAACGGATAAAATCCTTGAAAAACACAACTTACCAAAACAGATACAAGAAGAAACAGAAAACCTGAGCAGCTCTGTAGCCATTAAGTAAACTGAATCTGTAATTAAAAATATTTTCACAAAGAAAATTATAGGCCCCGGATGACTTCACTGGTGAATTCTTCCAAACATCTGAGAAAGATATACCAATCTTACATACACTCAGCAAATAGAAGGAATGTTCCCCAACTCATTTTTATGACACCAAAACCTGAGAAAAACAAAACGACAAATCTCTCTCATGAACACAGATGCAAACATCCTAAACAAAATATAAACAAATTGAATTAGATATAAAAAGGATAAGAAGTCATAGACAAGTAGAATTTTAATTAGAGATACAGATTGACTATTAAAAAAAAAAAAAAGCACTGGGGCACCTGGGTGGCTCAGTTAAGCGTCTGCCTTCGGCTCAGGTCATGATCCTGGGGTCCTGCGATCTAGCCCCATGTCAGACTCTCTGCTCAGTGGGGGGTCTGCTTCTCCCTCTGCCCCTCCCCCTGCTTGTGCTGTCAAATAAATAAACTCTAAAAAAAAACCCAAACCACTAATGTAATTCACTAGAATAACAGAAAAAGACATGATCATCTCAGTAGAAGCAGAAAAAGCACACGACAACATTTAATGTCCATTCATGATAAAAACACTCAGCAAACTAGGAATAGAAGGCATTTCCTCAATCTGATAAAGATGTATGTCCGAAACCCTACACCTAACATTCTATCTGGTGACAAATACTGAATGCTGTCTGTGCCTGCTCAGGTTTACGTCAAGGCAAGGGCACTCTTCCTGCTGCAATTCCACATTGTACCGGAGGTTCTACCTAGTGCAGTAAGTTAATGAAAGGAATAAAGAACAGAAAAATTAGAAGAAATTGTCCTTATTTGCAGATGACATGATTATAGATGTAAAAAGTCCTAGGTGATCTTAAAGTTTAAAATTTGTAAATCATTTTGACAATCTCAAGATACAAATTTCAATATATGAAAAATCTACCATATGCTGTATATTTGCAACAACTGGAGAAACGATTTTAAAAACCTGTTTCCCCAAAAGATAAGGTGACTAAAAAGATGTTAAGTCCTCACCCCCAGAACCTGTGAATGTGACCTTAACTTGGAAATACGGTCTTTGCAGATGTCATATGAGATGATGATGTGCTGGATGAGGGTGGGCCCTAAACCCAGTATGACTGGTGTCCTTTTAAGAAGAGACATGGGGTGCTGGCTGGCTCAGCTGGTGGAGCAGGCAGCTCTTGATCTTGGGGTTGTGAGTTCGAGCCCCATGTTGGGTGTGATTACTTAAAAATAAAATCTTAAAAAAGAAACAGACACAAACAGAGATACAAGGAAGAGGCCATGTGAAGACCGGAAGAGAGACTGGAGGGACACCTCTACAAGCCAAGGATTGCCGGGGGAGCCGGGGGGAGGCACGGAACAGATGGTTCTTCACCTCTAGACGGAACCAGTCCTGTGGATACCCGTGTTTTGGGGCATATAACCTCCCGGGGATTTTGGGTTCTATCCTCCAGGACTGTGAGAGAATACATTTCTGTTGTGAGAAGCCACCCAGTTTATTTGTTATGAGAGCCCCAGGAAACTAAAGCATAACCCCGTTTATGATGTCAAAAACCTAAAATGCTTAGAAAAAATTTAAGTGTGCAAAATCTCTACAATAAAAGCTACAAAATAACTGCTGAAATTCAAGAACATGTAAATGAAGAGAAATCACATCTGCAAACGGAACTCTGTAGTCTCAAGCTGTCACTTCGGCCCAAACTGATCTACAGACTCAACACAGCCTCATTCATATCCCAGCAAGCTTGTGACAAGCTCATTTTATATTTTTTTTGGTTCCCTACTTTTACAGGACTCCAGTTACCTGTATGTTGAACTGCTTGATACTGTCCCACAGGTTACCATTTTCCATTCTCTCTCCTCTCAGAAGTGCTTCTTTCTGGTAGTTTCTGTTCCTATGCCATCAAGTTCATGGTGTTTCCACAGAGGTTTCGGATCTGCTGTTAATTCTATCCAGGGTATTTTTTCATTTCAGGTATTGTATTTTTTCTTTAGAACTTCACTTAGGTCTTTTTTGGATCTTTCATTTCTTCCTTCATCTTGTTCATGATTTCTTTTACATCTTGAGCATATATGTAAGACTTACAATAGCCATTTTAAGGTCCCTGTCTGCAAATTCACCAACTGTCATTTTGCGGTCTATTGTTTGTTTAGTATTTCTCTTGATTATGGTTTATATTTTCCTTCCTCTTGGCATGGCCTGGTAATTTCTGCCTGGATTCCAACATCGTGAATTTTGTTTAGTGTGGGATATTTTTGTATTCTTTTAAAGAACGTTGGACTTTTTTCTAGCAGGCAGTTAAGATACTTAGGATCAGTTTGATCCTTCTGAGGCTTGCTTTTTAGACTTTACTCTAGGGCTTATTTAACCGCCCTGCTAAGGTCATAGCTTTCTGAGGACCCTACGCTGGTGTCCGCACTGCGTATTACAAGATTCTTCACCGTGACTGGTGCAAACACTGTTCCAGCCGTTCTGCTTTCTGGTGATTTTCCCTTGGGTGCCTGGAAGTTTATGCCACACCTGCAACATTAGTAGATTGTAGGGGACCCTGCAGACCCCCAGAGACCTTATTTGCAGCCCCTCACGTCTGGAACCCTGCCCCACAAGTTCCAGCCACCTTGACCTCTCCAAATGCCCATCTCTGCTTGCTCTACTCAGCAGGCCTGGGGGGCTCCGGGCTGTGCAACCCCCCCGCCCCCCGCCCATTGCTGGGCCTGGAAACTGCCTCCAGGCTGGAAGCTGGGGCGCCAAGAGGCTTACCTGGTTTCCTCCCCTTCACTCAGAAAACACCGCCACGTGCTGTGTCTCTCCCAACACCCAAAAACATTGTTTAAACACCTTCCTCGGTTTTACAGTTGTGTGTGGCCGGGGCACAGTCTCCGTGGCAGTTCCTCCCTGACGGGTGCCGCCGGCACATGTTTAGGACTCTTCCTCGTAACCTACCCCGGCTTCTCCACGGAAGACCATGTGGACAGCTCCCAGGCACGGCGGGCTCCCGGCGGCACGCGGTTTGTTTCAGGCTTAAGTTCTTGACGGTTCGGAACCGCACAGTATTTCTCCGCGCGCCTCGCCTCCCACCCCTCGGTGCTTATGCTTACGTTTTCATAGTGGATCCGGGACAGACAATGATCGCCTGTCACCGGGAAGACGAAGAACCGGGACTCAAGTTACTTCAATTCTAGTCATTCTGTGGGTGACCTTTTTATTGGTGTTTAAAACAGAAACAGTGGGACCTGCGAGGTAAGTTTCTTCTCCTTTATCAATGAAATGAAGAAACGTTCATCCTTTCTGGTACAATACTCCTTTTGATGATATTTTGGTTTAATAGCATGAGTATGTAGACAAAGTTCAATAAAAAGACACTTTTACTGTTTCTTTTCTAGCCATTGTTATTTTATTTCATCTCATGATTTTGCCGTTACCGTGTAAAGGAGGTGATACTCCAGCGTGGTCTATGTGAGGCTCCCCCAGGGGTTGGCGCCCAGGTCTAGGCCCCGTGAAGACAGGAGCCCTGGAGCTGGATGTCCCGCAGAAGCACCTTGGGCCTTGGTTTCCCCATCTGTAAATGCAGTGTCTGGGCGTGAGGACACACGATAACAAGTCTCCAGGCCTGCCTGGGCCTGCCTCCGGCATGGGAGGGGCTGAACTAGGGAGGCCCTGCAGCCTTGACCTTCTACCTCCCCCACCCCTGGACTCTGTCCTGGGCCTCCCAGGCCCCAGATGCATCTTCAGAGAACCGGGAATGGTAGAGTGACACCCCGTCTTGGGGAAAGAGCCAAAGGAACAGCAGGGGCGGAAGGGGGCAGGTGGGGTCACCTCAGGAGTGGGCACCCAGGGGTTCCCCTCACCACGCATGGCCCTGACAAGGTCCTGCTCATGTCACAGGTGGGACCCTGCGGTTCCTCAGCACCCAGTGTGGCACCCCGGGACAGACGGAAGCGGAGGCCCAGAGGTGGGACTGCCCCCGACACAACCTCAGGACTGTCCCCGGGGAGAAGGGGACGGGGCAGGGGGCCTAGGCGGGCAGCCTCCCCGGAGAGCAGGCTCCCTCGCCCCCCCGCCCCCTTCCCAGCATCTGCTGCACTGACCCAGGTGTGGCTCCCCTTTGCCCTCACCAGGAGGGGTGGAGGCCCAGGCCTGGGCTTGAGAGTCCTGGAGGCACATCAGGGCCTTTCGAGGACGCGGCTCCTGCTGCGGTCACTGCCCAGCCCGTTCCTCGCTTTGCAGGGCCATCCCACGAGCAAAGCGGTACGCTTGTTCTCCCCACCTAGGTAGAGAAAAAGCAAAACAAGCCAGCCAGCCTCTTGCCCCACCTCCTATTCCCAGGACCTGCCGTTCCCACCCTTGTTTTCCTGCAAGCCAGCTCCCACTGGGCTGTGGTCAAGGTCACCTCAGTGTCAAGAGCCCTGGGCCAGTCCCTGGACCGCACCTTGACCACAGCAGCCCTGCCATGGCCAGTCTCTCCCCACCAGTCCTCCAGGCTGCCCTCCTCCTCCCCCTGGACACTGGTTCTGGGGCCCGGACCCCTGACCTGTGCGCACTTGCTCCGGGGTGGCCTTCTGTCCACGAACAGCAATTCCCAATGCCAGACATCTCACCTGGGGGGAGGGGGTCTGATGGGCACCTCAGACCTGACCCCTGCTCCAGGGCGGGCAGCCCCGTCTGGCCCGGGGCTCAGACCAAAGCCCGGGAGCCCCTCTCGCCTCCTCTCTCTGCCACCTGCATCCCGTCCGTCCAGAAGTGCTGTGGACGGAACCGGCAGAATGTTTCCAGAGGCCGTTTCCTCTTGCCCTGTCTCCACAGGGAAGCGGGGACACGCCACATCCCTACGGCTGCACGCAAGCAGGCTTCCCGAGAGGCGGGAGCAGCGTGGCCCCGCAGTGCTCTGGGAGGTGGTGGCAACCGGGAGGCGGCTCCGCCAGGGACTCCTGCAAACGGCCTGCACAGACCGCAGACGAAAGGAATCCAGGCAGCATTCCCACTTCCATCCTAAATCCTGCCCGAGCTGTTCCTCGTTTAGACCCAACTGAACACCGGTGACTTTTCACAGTCTCGTTAGAGATCACCCCCGCCCCCCGCCGCACTGGATAAGCACCTGCCCACAGGGCTCTATGTAGTCCCAGGCTGCTGACCCTCCGGCCCACCTGGCTCTGCGCCCCCTGCCCCGTAGGTTAGAAGGCGGGGACCCCTGCTCCGCCTCCACCCCGCTGCTGCTGCTTGGGGTTACCACTGCTCTCGCACCAAACCCTCTCGAGCGTCAGGCTGGGCTCTGTGCTGGGCCTGGCCTTGCCTGGCACGTGGAAGGCCCCGGATACACTGCTGCGTGGAGGATGGTGGGGGTGCCAGTACCCCTAAACTGCTGCCAGGGGTGACCCGGGAGATGCTCCAAGGCTGGTGGCCCAGGTTTCCCTTGGGGGGCATTGCCCCCCACTCGCCCCGTGCCCTGCCCCGCCCCCGGCACCACACCGCCCCCAGCAGAAAGCAACCAGACGAGGTCTTCTGCTGTACTAATGTATTCCATCTTTCAAAAAGAAAGACATGATTTTAATATTACTTAACAATATGTTAAAAAAGTAGCCAGGCAGGCCTCCGTGTTAATACAGTCGTACACTCTCTAACAGACTTGATGGTGTGAGTACTGGGTGGGGTTTTGTTTTTGAACTTTCTCATTCTGCAAGGGATCTTACACAAGCTGGCTACAAGTCAGGGGGTCAGACACAAACAGCGCAACGTGTACACTCTTAGACAGTAGATTGTGGAGGAGAACGGAAGAGCGCCTGCCCGCCCAGCCCGCCTCGGGTCGGGTGCAGGGCACACGAGAGCTGAGTGACGGCAGTGCCCTGGCGGGGACAGATGACAGGACAGGGCGAGATGCAGAGGCAACGAGCCACGTGGATGATGAAACGCGTCTCTGGCCGCGACCCGGGCTCCCGGGCCGCGTGGTGGAGAACCGGCAGGAGCTACTGTTCCAATCCGACAGCACGGCGCCGAGCTCAACGCCTCACTCACAGACACACGCACACGAGCTACCAGCGCGGGCCGAGCAGCGAGTCCTCGGTTTGGGGGGGTCTCAGGTGCGGCAGCCCACCCGGCCCAGCCCTGGGCAAGCACTGCAGCTCCGGGGCCTGGCCCACCTCCCGCGCGTCCCTCTCCAGGCGGTCCTCATTCAGTGGGCAGCAAAAGTGGCTTTTTTCAAGCTAAAATTGGACCAGTTGATGGACAGTCTTTGTCGGGTCTGTCTAGCGGAATCCAGACAGAATCTGTGAAGACAAAGAGCCAAACAGTCAGGGAAGGGAACAGCCCACACGTGAGCGGGTGTCCGCAAAGCCTAATGTACCTCCGGGGGGGGCGGGGGGGGGAGGGCGGCCTCTCAGTGTGCCAGACCCAGCGACAAGGTCCCCTCCACATCTGGCCACCCTTCAGAGCGGGGAAAGGCCCTCGGAAGGATGGGGGCCCCCTTCTTCAGGACACTAGCCAGCACCCTCAATGTCCTCTGGTGTCCTGTGTCCTTCTCAGCTGCCCAAGGGAAGTTTCTGACCAGCCCATTTGAGAACGTGCCAACGGCCACCACCCTGCCCTTCTCCACGTGTTAAGCTGTGGAGATCCCCTCTGCCCTCATTTATCCCCGAATGCACGCTTGAGTGTGATATGGAACGCCGCCCCCAGGTCTCCGAGGCAGGCCTCCAGCCCTGGAGCCCAGCTCTGCTTCACCCCTGCACGCCCAACAGTGTTTGAAAAACACCACCTTCTGCTACCGGCTTCCCAGGCAATAGTGGCTGATTCTGTATTAAATGCGAACACTTCCTTTCAAACGCCTATACTTCGCATAATTTCTGAAGTTCTCACCTGTCCAGCTCTCATCTGAGCAGCAGAAACTTGAATTAAGCCTGCAAATGGCTACTGCTATCACCCAGCCAGAAGCTGAAGTGTGTTCATTTACACGGCGGTTCAATCGCCCACAATTTCTTGTGCCGCCCGCCGGGCGGTCTGTGTCCATCCCCCGCCCTGCTCCCAAGAATCCAGCCTCTCCTTCCCTGGCCACAGTTGGTCAACACCCGAGTCCTAGTGGCGTCACCTTTTCAAGCTTCAGGAAACTCCCCCGTCCCCCTTTGCTCTGGCGGTAGCTCCCAGTGGTCCCCGGCAGGCCACGCACCCCCATGTCTCTCCACGCCCCATGGCTGGAATGCCTACAGGTGGCTCCGAGCCAACGGAAGCAAGGCCCCCAACGGCTCTCCCAGCACAGGGCCCCCAGGCCCCCAGCCGCCGGCTCTGCCTCCTTCCCACACCCTTGGCTCCCCTGCACCTGACGCTGACACCCCCTGCCCATCAGGCCTCCGTGTGGTCCGCTGTGGACTGTGTCACACACGCTGTGGACGTGTACCCAGGTGACTGGGACCAAGCCTGGGTTGCCACAGCCCCCCAACCCAGGTCCGGAAGCCCGACCCTGCCGACCCCATGGCACCTCGCTGTCCTCTCCCGGGAGGCAGCCTGCACCCTGGCGTGTGTGACCATCGCCCCATGATCTCGCAGCCCCTCGCCCGTGTTTGCGTGTGCTGATTTCCGAACTTACAGGAACAGAATTGTCCTGTATTTTTTTCTTATTGCTTGCGTTCAACACTATGTTGTGCGATTCCTCCATGAGGCCGCTGTGTGCTCGTTTCCAAGGCTCCAAGAGCTCACCCCGCGGAACGGACAGACAAGTGGATGCTGCTGCTCACGCAGGTCGGAGCACGGGGCTCCGTGAAACGGCCGGCTTCGACTTGACCCGATTCTGCCAAAATTCTCCACGGTTGCTGGAGCCGCTCTGTGCTCCCCCCGGGGGGTGGGGGAGCCACTGCCCCTGCGCACCCAGCCCCCCATCAGGCGGGAGGCCTCTCCACAGGTCCGTGGTCACCGCTTTCTGTGACAGCACATCTGTCCACACTGTTTGTCTTTTCCTGCTCTGTCATGTTTATCTGATACCAACCCTTCATGAGGTGCTGCACACACGGTCTCCTCACTTTCTTTAAAGAATTGTTGATTTTAATGTCATTTATCAATCTTTTATTTTATGGTCGGTGTTTTTAAGAAATCTTTCCCTACTCTGAGGTCAAAAAGATACTCACCTATATTCCAAATCAAAAGGTTTGCTTTTGACATTTAGAATCTTAACTCATCTAGAGGTGACCTTTGGGTAGGATATGGGGGGCAGATCCAATTTAAAAGTTTTTCTTACATAAACTTTCATAGCTCCATTTATGAACACACCTTCATTTCCACTGTCGATCTGTCTTTTGTCATAAACCAAAGCTCAGCGTTTGTACAGTCTGTTTCTAGGCTCCGGATTCTGCACGAATATCACAATGTTTTCATGATCGTCTTTGTAATGGGCAAGAAAAGCCGTCCGTTCTTCCTATTCTTCTAGGAGGATCAGATTAATCCTTTAGAGGTTGGTTTGATTTTTGTGTGAACATCACACACATACAGGAGAGTAAACAGACGTGTGTGCAAAAGGAAACCGGTAAGGCAAACACCGGGGAGCGCAAGCATCAGGCTGTGGGACAGTGCCTCCCGGCAGCCCCCACTCAACCCCAGAAGTAATCACCATTCTGGCTTTTTAGGATAATTTCCTTGCTTTTATTTATAGTCCTAACACCTACGTACTGTATAGTATCCCTGAACGATAGACTTAATTTTTAAAATAGACCTTACTGAGGTATAGTTTATGTACAATAAATTGGTTGTTGTAGAGCTCACGGTGCCGACAAATAAATACATCGGGTAAGTAGCCCCTCAATCAAGACACAGGGCGCTTCCAGGGAGTGCCCTCCTGCTCGTCGCCTCGCCGCCCCAGCCCCAGGGAAACAGGGATCTGCTGTCACTAGGGATGGACTTGTACTTTCTGGCATCTCACGTACACGGAACTCTGCAGTATGTCACCTCTTGTCTGGCTTCTTGCCCTAAGCAACCTGCTTCTGAGCTCTGGCTCTGGTGTTTCATCAGGAGTATGCTTTTCACTGCTGAGTGGTGTCCACCGGATGGACAGAGCGCAGTTTATCTGCTCATCTGCTGTGGATATGGGTTGTCCCCAGTTTTTGGCTATTACAAGTGAAACTTCTAGAAACATTCATGTAGGAATCTTTGTGTGCATACATGCTCTTTCTCGTTTCTCTTGGGCGGACAGCCAGGAGTGGAGCTGCTGGACTGAGAGGTGTACATTAAAAAATGTACTAATGGAAAGAGCGCAGATGTCCATCGACAGAGGAATGGATAAAGACGACGTGGTGTGTACACACAATGGAATGTTACTCAGCCATCAGAAGGATGAAATCTTGCCATTTACTTCGATGTGGATGGAACTGGAGGGTATTATGCTGAGCAAAATAAGTCAGTCAGGGAAAGACAAATACCATATGATCTCACTCATATGTGGAATTTAAGAAACAAAACAGAGGATCATAGGGGAAGGGAAGGAAAAATAAGATGAAATCAGAAAGGGAGACAAACCATAAGAGACACTGAACTCTAGGAGGGCACGTGATGGGATGAGCACTGGGTGTTAATGCAACTGATGCATCACTGACCTCTACCTCTGAAACTAATGATACACTTGATGTTAATAATTGATTTTAAATAAAGCAATTTTTAAAAATGTACTTTGGTTATGTCTAAACTGACCTTTATATCAACAGGGTACTATGTATATTCTCGTGTTCTGCCTTTTGTCTACTGTTCAGTCTGTAAGACCCACGTTGCAGCCTGCTCTAGCGCGTTCCTTCCCTCGGCTGTACAGCATCCCACGTGTGACCGCATCGCCACGTATCCACCCTACACTAATGTGTTTTAAGAACACTCAATTTTACAAAATCCTTCTTGGGTTTTAAAATCTACAGATAAATTTTGGGAAGTGAGAGAGCCTTATGATACTCACTTTTCCTATCAATGAATACAGGATCTATTCCAGGTCTTCAATATTCTTCACTCATGCTTCATTCTCTTCTACTCATAGGTTGTGGGCAACTTCTGTTAGATTTATTCATGGAGACTGCATAGATTCTGGTGCTGTTACAAATACTGTCTTTATTTAAACTACATTTTTAAATTACGGACGGTATAGAGAACAAAGCTTCTGTACACTGATCCTACAGCCAGTCCCTTCACTAAAAAATTCTTTTTCTTGCTAAATTGTAATTCCCTTTGTAGTCAATTAGATCATCTGTAAGTAAAATGGAACTTTATCTCCTGCTTTCCACTCCCTAAGCCTTTCTTTTCTCTTATTATGCTGCCTAGGAACCACGATTTAAGGCTGAACAGAAGAAGTGGAAACAGAGAGCATCTTTGTTTTGCACATGCTTCCACGCTTCCCGTTTGAGAAACTGTTTCATGTAGATTTCTTTTCTCTGTCTCTTTTGGTAAACTTCTTTTCAGGTTAAGGATATTTCCTTCTACTACTAGTTTACCATTTTTCTTTAATTAATTGAATGCTAACATTTTATCAAATGTCTTTTCTAAACCTATGGAAATGATCATATGGCTCTTAATTATCAATTTAGCAAATAGCATTTGTGGATTTCCTAATAGTAAATACTCCTTGCATTCATTCCTAGGGTACACCAGTTTGGTCATATACTGCTTTTTAAAATACTGTTGGATTTGGAATGTGAAATTTTTTTGCATCCAATTAATATTCATGACCGAAACAGATCTGTGATTTTTCATGTTTTCTGTATCGCTTTTAGCAGATTTTGTTATCAAAATCTTCCTTCTCTCATAAAATGAAGTAGGGAGTCTTGTGCTATCTCTCCTCCTGTCAATCCTCTGGTAGAATCAGTAGAAGGCTGGATAATCTCAAGTTTTGGGAGAATTCTCAGCACAAATGTCAGAATGTAGTGTCTCGTCGGGATTATTTGCAACCACTACTCTGATTTCTTTGATGGTTACTGGATCTGTCAGGTTATATTTTGTTATTGGGTTGATTTTGTATCTAAGTTTTAAAATTAATTGTGAGGTTGTTCCCAGTGTTCTCTTATGGTTGCATCACTACAGTACCTGTAGTTATGTCTTCCTTTTCACTTACATAGTCACAAAACTCAAGAAACCCTTTTCATTACGGAAGATGTCAAACCCACACAAAAGCAGAGTGTGGTGACATGGGTGCAGCCATGGTCCAACTTTGATCATTCTCAACACTCTGGTTCTTTTCCATCTAATTACTGTATTGTTTTGTGTCTTTTTCCCCCTATTTTATCCTGATCAGTCTCTCAAAGGTTTATTTATTTAATATTTTCAAAGAGTCAAAGTTTGGCTTTGTTGATCTTCTATCTGTTTTCTGTTTCAGGATTCCTTTTATACATTATCTCCTTAAACTTTCTTTGGGTTTATTTGGTTGTTCTTTCCCTAATTTCTCAAACCCAAATCCTTAACTCATTAATTTTCAGGTTTTTAAAAACTCACTCGGCAGTCTTCACCGAAAGAGCGCTTGAGAACGAACTGTGTCCCCATCCCACAAGTTTTCATATGCAGTGTTTTCCTTCTCTTTTAGTTCCACATATTTTTAAATGTCTACTGTGGTTTCTTATTGAACCCATGAGTTAAACAAACATACTTTCAGATTTCCAAATACTTAGGGACTTAAAAATTTACTTCTTGTAAATTGCCGATTTAAATGTGGTATCAGAGAACACAATTACACATATTCCTTCTCTGAAACTTCTGCACCTTCCTTTCTGTGGCCCAGCACCCGCTCCGCCTCCATGAGCGTCCTCCGTGGGCCCGAGAGCACAGACGCCCTGTTCCCTGGACGCACATTCATCTGTATCCACCTTCCACATCCCTGTGGATGCGGGCGCTGCTCAAGCAAGCGGCCACACAGAGACAGCTGGAGATGTCCTACACGGAGGCGGATCGGATCCTCTATGCAGCCCAAACTACTTCCTGTTTGTATTTTGAGGCTATTTCATTTAGTACCTAGTTTAAAATTTCTATGTCTTCCTCACACACTGAACTTTTTAGCACTATGGAGCCACCTTTATCTGTCCCTTATATTAATCCATATTCTGGATGATAATAACATAATTATACAACAGCTTCCTCTTTACGTCCATCCTTCTATTCACTGTATTTTAGGTATGTTCGTATAAACAGTGTGTGTGCGCGTGTGTAAGCATGTGTGTGTGTACTGAAAATCGTTAACACAATCTGACAAACTTTTTTTTTCTCTTATGGTTGCTGATAAAACTGAACTTGTGTCTCTCGTGTTTTTAAAATTTGTTTACTGTACTTTCTTTAATTTTTTTCATTTTGAGTTTTGATTTTTTTCCTTCTCCAGATTAGCAATTTATACATCCTATTTCTATTCTTTCAATGCTTACTTGTGAAACTGTATCGCCCATTTAGCTTCAAGTCTGAATATTAAATACCTGTTAAATACCTCAACGAGAAAAGGACGTGAGGATACTCAGCTCTATTTCACACCTAGCTTACATGCTATTGCTGTTCAATACTGTGGTTCTTTCAGACATAATGTCAATTAGACATTATTATTATCTTGTTACAAAGAAAATGTTTTATTTAACAACATTTATCAGGCTGTTTCTCTCTCTCCTTCCTGCAAATCACACTGTCTTTCTGAGATATTCTCTTTTGAAGATTTTTTTTTTCTTTTTTTTAAACACAGATGTCTTTGGAGCAAGTGCCTTTAGTTTTTATTATGGATAAGAATAGGTTTGTGGGATACACAGTTACAGACTGACAACTTTCTCTCAACGCTGTAAATATCACCCCATGGTCTTCTGGTTTCACATCTGCTATGTTGAAGAATGGATTTTTGTTTGTTTATCCCATTGGTGTATGTTGTGCTTCTGAATTTGTAGATTTGAATTTCTCATTAGCTCTGCAAAATCCCCAGGTGCTGTATCTCTTCAAATATAGCTTTTCTGTAGCCTTCACATTCTCCTAGGGGGGCTCCAGTTAAATGTCTGTCAGACTCAGTCTCTCCTCCATGTGTCTGAGCCTCTTCCCTCTTTTCTAATTTCCTTGTGTGTGGGTGCATTCTGGGTACATCTTTCAGATAGTTCTTCCAGTTCACAAATTCCCTCTTCAGCAATGTCTAATCTATTTATCATGTATCTATTAACATCTTGATTTTACTCATTACATTTTTCATTTCTAGATGTTTCTTTTCCCCAGGTCTTGGCTGTTTGATAATCTTTGTTTATAAGGTCATGCATGATTTTAAAGTATATGAGTCCTACAGGTCTACCTTGGGAAAATATCTCTCCAAAGCTCTGCCTTTATCCACAAAATGCTCCCTAGAATCCAGCTTTGGGGCAAACTGTCTTAGTAACTCAAGTGATTTGCTTACAGATTCTTTGTACAAACACACTTCCATCACCTGAGAATGACAATTCTATTTCTTCCTTCTGATCCTTAGCCCTCTGTTTCTTCTCACACCTTCACAAACAGAAGTTGTAACATTGGGCACCCTCATCTTCTTTTTTCTTTTTTAATCTCCAGGGATAGCTTTTAATGTTTCACTGTAACTATGGCATTTATTGTATTTTATGGATACCTTTTATTATGTTAAGGATATGCCTATCTAGGCCTACATATGAGTTTTTATTAGGATGGACGTCCATCTTTAGCAAATGCTTTACTCTGCCTGCTAAGATGAGATACATACACACACATGCACACATACATAAATTATATAATAAACATAACTTCCAGAGTCATTTAGAATTCTATCATATTTCATTTATTTTTATCTTTTATTTATTTATTTTATTTATTTATTTATTTATTTTCATCTTTTATTTTTTTTAAGGAGGCTCTGTGCTGGGCGTGGAGCCCAATGCGGGGCTTGAACTCCTGACCTCGAGATCAAGACCTTAGTTGAGATCAAGAGTCAGACACTTAACCGACTGAGCCACCCAGATGCCCCTACAATATTTCAGATATGAGTTAATGACTTTTTGCACTGCAAACTACCTGCTCCTTTTGTGTGTGTATGTGTGTATTATCTGAAACAAACAGGTTAAAGAAGGAACAAGAAACTTTAAAATGAAATTTGCTTGCCATAATTCACAAAGTAGATAAAATACTATTGAACACAGTACTAATGAAATCTGCTTAGCAGGAAAACTGAGCGAATCTCTAAAATGTTACTTTTCTCCCTAAAAGCATGCCCTATCAGTGTGTTCCAATGTCAGCACACATGAGGATGACCAGGGACGCTTGTGACAACACAGATGTTGGGTCCCTCCCAAGAGTGATTCAGCAGGTCTGGGGAGGGGCCTGCTCCCTGATGCTGCTGGTCCGGAGCCACGGTCCTCAACCAGTCTTCACACAGAGGGGTGGGGAGAGGTGACCGGGTGTGAGGGTGGGTGAGGAGGCCCGTGTGTGTGCTAGGACTGTGGGGGGACGTGTGTGACAGGCCCCTCGGCTAGCTGACAGAACTTGTGTCCATGACAGCAGCAATGCCAGGGGAGGGTCAGGAGGGTCATGTCTGGCAGCCGTGAAACCATCATTTCAGACACAAAGCCATAACATTTACCTTTTGAAATACTCCACTTCCCTCTCTGTCTCATCCATATCCACGCTGTCTAGGTCGATATCTTTAGGCAGAAAGACATCATCTGTAAAATGAAAGAAAAGAGGCAAGTCAGATTACAAGAGAACAGATTACCTGGCTTTACTTAATTTTAGTAACTTCACAAACTGAAAATTTTCTCTAAAATAAGACTTTACAAACAGCCAAAGGAGGGCAGATGTCTCTCATGTGCTTGTGAACTTCCATGTTCAACCTGGAAATTATGGAACTCACAAGTTTGCTGGGCGAAGCAACTGTGGCTTCAGGCCCCACTAGAAGAGATCCATTTGCTGGCACCCAGATTCCCCAAGTGACTGGTCTTTACTTGACACATTTCTGTGATGGGAGGGCCCTTGAGAAGACTCCCTGAAACCTAAGGTGCTTGCAAGCCCAGAGTCTGTCCTAAGTCCCTACAGGAGGGCAGGAAGGAGTGGGGGCGTGCTAGTGAACAGAAGCCCAGAAGGCAGCCCCACAGGGAGGCGAATGCTGTCCCTTGCAAGTGCCCCCCACAGCAACAGGACACGACTGACTGTACCGGGGACCCCGACATCAACCTCTAGCGGAAGATGGCTCTCCCAGGCATTCAGTTTATTCGTGCAGCATCCCAGAGACATCATCAAACACTTTTCAGGCCGTTCCAATAAAAAAGCAAGGCTGTATTTCACTTTGCAGTTAAATCACCTTCTTTGAAAACAGGCAGGATGGCAGGGAGACTAGTGACTCAGAATTCTTCCAACTCCTTGAATCTCAGCAAGGTTGAGGGGTTCAACTTCATGCTTCTTCTCTGCCCACCCTGTCTGTTACAACCTGTGGGACCCTGGGCACTGCCTGGGCCCTGGGCACCGGAGGCTAGGTCGGCGCACAGGAGAGCTGGCCGTGCACACACAGCACCTGGCCCCACCCTCAAAGGAAGGTACAGAGTCTCCACTTCCCTGCAGACTTTAGCATGGGATAATGTTTTGTCCTCTGTAGAAAACAAAGACACACTTTTGTTCCTTTCACTGGGGCTCTCTGACAGTAGCATAAGCTGGAACGGCAGCTAACGTTTTGCTGACTTAGACCACCAGGCAGAGTGCCTTCACATCTGTGAGCTCACAGACACGTCTGCGAAGAGCTTCCCTGGAGGGACCTGCACGACCACAGCCCCTCCCAGCCACCCGCTGCCGGCACCCAGAGCTCCCTGCGCCCAGCTTTCCTCCTCTGCACTACGCCCGCCCCCACCATCCCCTCCTCCCAGGGGATACGGACGCCACCAAGCCTCCCCCACTGCCCCAGACCGCTTTCGTGAGTTGCACGTCCCTGCAGCTAGCTCCTTCACAGGCACCTTCAGGCATCTGCCCCCCAGGATGGCCTGCTGTGAGCCTGCCCCGTTTCTGATGGGGAACCTCAGCTCCACCTCACTCTCACGTCATGGCTTCTACCGGCCCGGCAAGTTCTCTGTGAGCAGTCTGGGACCGCCCCCACCCAACCTCTACCCACTGCTGCTGCATCAGAGCTGGCCTTCAGCAGCTTCCCAGCCGGGCTCCACCCTGCCCAACCCAGCCAGTGCAGACTCATCCTCACAACACATGCAGCTCACAGCTGCCCTGTGTCCACGGCCCAATCCATTCCTCCCCGGCCGCACCAAGACTCTTCCGACTGGGCCTTCATCTACATGTCCACCTGCAGACCTCGCCTGCCTGCCAACTAGACTTGCTGAGGCCCGGTTCAAAGAAATCCTGGTGTATGGGGAAGGGTGACATGGGGCAGGAGTGTTTAGAGATGTAATGAAAGTGAAGTCTAGGAGAGCGAGTCTCTGATCAACAGTCCTTCCCTTAACAGTTATGGAAGAGGAACAATGACAAAAGTGAATAGAGCAGGTATATCTGCTGGAAAAGCTGTCTTTGAAAGCAATTTCTAATCTTCTTTTCTTCTGATCAGAATAATCACTACTGAACATCTTGGTATAAGAAAAAAAAGTGACAAAACCATAACCAGATTCAGTACCAGGAAAACATTTTTCACAACAGCAAAGCTACATTAATCAGAGTGGAAAGTGTGACCCAGCCAGGCTAGGCTTCTGTACATTATTAAGACTGTAGGAAACATTTTGCTTTGCCAGAGCTCAGAGGATTCTATACCCCTGACCCCTACTCGAGGACATGCGCCTAAGGGTGAGCATCATCCAACCAGAAGAGGACAGGGAACACTTCACAGGAGGACCAACACCAGCATGGGATGTAGTCAGATGGAGACCTATAAACGCCCTGTGTCTGACATAGCAGAAATAATGCAGCTGGGAAATGGAAGAAAAGGGACTGCAAAAGGCGGGGAGTGAAAAGGATGGAAGCAGCTCACAGACTATTGTCCAGGCAGTAAGTGGTGTTAGAGAAGCTGCCTTGAAGCCAGCTGTGGAAGGTAAGCGAGGAAACCAACGATGGGGCCCAACAGTACAAGCGTGGAGGAATGCACTCAGGCAAGATCGCCAACTTTCTTAAACATCAATGATTTTCAAAAATAAGAGCTAAGAAAAAAAAATCATATAGAAAAAGAAACAGCAAATATAAAATATACAGAGTAATTATAATATGTCGTCGGAGCTGAGACAAAGCACATAGTAATAATATATGCGAATGGGGCTTAAATTACCTCCAGATAAGATTTTCCATTTGGCTCACAAAGCAAGATTCAAGATTTGTGCTGTCTGAAATCAGAGAACGAGCTAACACTGAGGGACTCAGGGATGAGAACAGAAGTGTCCCGCCAGGCGAATGGAGACACTAAGAGCGAAGGGGCAGCGATCACCACCTTAGACAAAGTAGAATTCAAGGCAAAAGCACAACGAAAGGACATTTTTTTAGTACTAAAACCCAGAATTCACTGAAAAAATATTACAGTTAGGAATGTGCACCAAATACAAACACCACTTTATAAAGCAAAATTGCAAGAAAGACAAGAAAACCTAGAAACTCATTAATAATAAATAACAGGAGACAGGGGCGCCTGGGTGGCTCAGTCGGTTAAGCGGCCGCCTTCGGCTCAGGTCATGGTCCCAGGGTCCTGGGATCGAGCCCCACATCGGGCTCCCTGCTCAGCGGGAGGCCTGCTTCTCCCCCTCCCACATCTCCTCCTTGTGTTCCCTCTCTCGCTGTGTCTCTGTCAAATAAATAAAATTTTTAAAATATAAATAAATAAATAAAATAACTAACTAACAGAAGACAAGTCAAGAGGACAAAAAACCAGGAAGGAAACAGAAGACCTAACCTTAAATATTATTGATCAATACATCATGGAGATATATACATTCAATTTTCACCATGATAACAGAAAAAAATTCTTTAAAAAAAAAATTTTTTTTTAAGATTTTATTTATTTATCTGACAGAGAGAGAGACACAGCAAGAGAGGGAACACAAGCAGGGGAGTGGGAGAGGGAGAAGCAGGCTCCCCCTGCTTGTGTTCCCTCTCTTTCTGTGTCTCTGTCAAATAAATAAATAAAATCTTTAAAGACAAAATCTTTTTTAATTTTCATTTTTACAGTTACACTCTATCCCTTCATTGTATTGAATCTTACTTTTGTATGTATGTAAGTTTTTCTTGCTTTACAATTTAGGGATGCAGTTTCTTCTAACAGACCAAAATACACCCAAAATCTAGTGAATGGTTCTGCTCTGTTCACCTGTCTGATCATATTCTCTTTGTTGTTGTTTTTGGGGGGTGGGGTTTTTTTGTTGTTGTTGTTAAAGTCTTTTAAAATTTTCATCTTTACAGTTACATTCTATCCTTTCAATATATTTAACTTTATTTTTGTATAAAAAGTTTTTCTTTCTTTACAATTTTGAGACGTAGTTTTTTCTAACTGACCAAAATACACTCAGGAGACAGTATATTGCTCTGTTCTGTTAACCTGTTTATATCCCTTTTTTGTTTGTTTTTCTTCTCTTTTGTTCTTCCTTTTAATTTCCATTTTTACAGTTATATTCTATCTTTTCATTGTATTTGACTTTATTGTTATACACATTTAAGTTTTTCTCTCTTTACAAATTTGGGATCTAGTTTTCTAAAAAACAGACCAAAATACACACAGAATCCAGTGCACTGCTCTATTCTGCTCACCGGTCTGATTATATTCTTTTTCTTTTTGTGTTTCAGTTTTGGGTCTGACTTGTTTAGTGTATACTTCTCTGGGGTCACTGTTGCCATTTTAGTATTCTGTTCTCTCGTTCATCTATTCTCCTCTGGACAGAATGATAAGATGGAAAAACTTACCTCAAAAAAAAAGAGAACGAGAGGCAGTACTGACTGCCAGGGACTTAACCAGTATGGACATGAGACGTTGGAACTAGAGTACAGAATAACGATTATAAAGATATAAGCTGGGCTTGAAAAAAGCATGGAAGACACTAGAGGATCCCTTTCTGGAGAAATAAAAGAACTAAAATCTAACCAAGTCAAAATAAAAAAGGCTATTAATGAGATGCAATAAAAAATGGAGGCTCTAACTGCTAGAATAAATTAGGCAGAAGAGAGAATTAGTGATATAGAAGACCAAATGATGGAGAACAGAGAAGCTGAGACAAAGACAAACAACTACTGGATCATGAGGGCAGAATTCGAGAGATAAGTGACACCATAAAGCAAAACAATATTAGAATAACTGGGACTCCAGAGGAAGAGGAACGGCGGGCAGAAGGCATATTGGAGCAAATTAGAGTGGAGAACTTCCCTAATCTGGGGAAGGAAATGGGCATCAAAATCCAAGAGGCACAGAGAACTCCCCTCTCAGTATCATTAAAAGTAGGCCAACACCCTGACCTATAATAGTGAAGCTTGCTAATCTCAGAGACAAAGAGAAAATCCTAAAACCAGCTGGGGACAAGAGGTCAGTAACCTAGAAGTTCTACAGAAACATTAGACTGGCAGCAGACCTACTCACAGAGACCTGGCAGGCCAGAAAGGACTGGCATGATATATTCAGGGGGCTAAAATGAGAAAAATATGCAGCTAGGATGTCATTCAAAATAGAAAGAATGATAAAAAGCTTCCAGGACAAACAGAAATTAAAAGA